CGAAAAAGCGCGAAACAATCACGGAAGTGTAGAGGCGGTGGTACAACATTCTGCGCCATTCTCCAGTGTGTGTAGATGTATGTGATCGCACTTTTTTCATACGCGTGAAGCTCCTCAGCCATTCCTGTTCCACGTGCTACGTGGCAGTCTGTGTTCTTCCTCTCTCTGCAACAGGTGTTCTTGTGTACGGGACTTATATCTCAATCGTAATTGCTTCTCCGTCGATGACTGGGGTGAGGTCATCCTTGTGGCGATAAGATGTGACTTTTTTTATTGTATTTTTCTTTTTAAGGGAATGAATCGTCCGAGTCAGGAAATCCTTCTCCTTCAAGGCCGAGTGTTATATACTCTTCTTCCGTTACCCTCGACCAGAGGCATTGAGGGAGAGACTTTTTTTTCCCTTCCTCTCTCCTGTGGAGTGCGTTCTGCTTCTTGCCTCCCTCACTCTCTTCCCTATGTTACGGATTTTTGAAGACGCAGTCAGTCATGAAAGAGTTGATTTCTTTTTCCCTTCTCTTCCTTCTCTCAGCTTCTTTTAATGGGTTGAAAACCCCGAAGAGAGACGTGACTCAAGGAAGGGTATACACAAGGAATCGTACATGTTGTAGCGACTGCTCTCGTGCTCTCTGGACCTTAAGTTTACTCGTTGCCGTCGTTCCGTTACTGAGCACATGTAAAGGGGGACGAAGAAGAAATATTAACGGTCTCAAGCTCTCCCAACCCTTACGTCTAAGTGCGTTTTTGGCCATTTTGACACGTGTGTCGAGAGGTCATTGATCGTCGGCTGGGAACCTTTATCGGAAACTTCCGAGAAAAACGAGGGCTTACTTCCCCCTCATGTTGCCTCTTCCTGTCGAGGACCTATAGAGAACTAAACGCTCGATTCTTCCATCAGGATCCACATACGAGCTCTCCTGCTTTTCCTTCGATTCTTCGGTTCTCGTAGCTCTTGTGCACGTGTGTGTGTGTGTTTGTTTTCGCGGAGTGGTTCTACCTTCTTATTTCCCACATGTATTTCATTTTCATATCGCTGGTCGATTCCATTCCCACAAGTGATGATTCATCCCTAGGTCTGCGTGCATGTGTGCGCTTCATCTGGATCCGCGTGTTTTCACCGTATTCCTCCTCTGACTCGGCCAAGGTTGTATCACTGTGTTGCCGTTATTGGACCCTGGAGTGGATCGATCTCCTGCGAGATCTTTTTTACCTGCAGCTGTTTCCATTCCTTCCTGTTATGCTGAGGGTTACCCCTCGTGCCTACCTGGATACATTCCTAGGTTACCTGTTGTATTCTTGTCGATCTCATTGGTGCAGAATCTAATGATCATCGTGCTTTCCTCTATTTCAGATCTTGTGATCATCGTCTTGCTCAATGTTAAAGACTTGACCGCCCCCGAGAAGAGGAAAAGAATGGGGCGTGATGAATGATTTTGAATTCTTATTGTGTCGAATGAATGGATCGTCAGTATTTTTCAAATCCTCATCTTCCGTCTATGTCTGGGAGAGAGAGGCCACCACGTGTTATCCGACCACCAACCCTTCGTCGAGGAAAGGAGGAAATCTCCCTCACCGAAAAGGTAGGAATTTTATTTCTCTTGTCCGTTCCCTGCCCCCCATATCTGAAGAAACTACCTGGATTTTTCAAAATACGATACCAATGCATCCAATATGTCACCATATTGAGTCACTAGCGGTCGACCCCGATTCTCAAGGTTATTATTTTGTAAAAAAAAATCGCCGATTCATATGGTGAATGGAATATAACAATTTTTTTGTTGCTTTGTCTGTTATCAAGTTCCCTGGCCTTTCAAGACTATATGCTTAAAGCTGAACACGTTCGCCTCCACATGTCGCACAAATCTAACATGGCGTTCTATCAGACATCCGAGTGTCGCGAATGTGCGACACGTATTCTTTGAATTTACGGGGAATTACTTCCTCCTGGGCGTTTGGACTGGTTTAATTCTGAAGCAACGGTTTATGGGCATGTAGAAATATAGCCCGGCAACTAGTTAAAATATAGATATTTTTAGTATCATTCATGGGAAGTCAGGATTTGCTGTGGACACCGTTTTAGGATTAAAGCGTCGATCCGCCTTCAAAGTGATACGGACGATTACCGAGGTCAAAATTTGTTGTAGTCAGGTGTAGAGTGGTTGAGTTGAAGTTTGTATCACATCCAGCACCGAATGTCAAACTTGCAGCTGGAAACCACTTAACTTTATTTGCATTAATGGAACAATCGATTCGCAGCTGTGGAAGAGCGTGCATGTGGAGGTCGAAATCTCTACCGTGCTCGGTTATCATTATGTACTTGCTTGAATGCATTTTGATTGATCCAGATGTGGTAGAACCTTCATTTCCTGTCTGAGCAGCTTTTTTTAAAATCATCCTGGGACTTAAAGGTAGGACGACCAGAAAAGCCGTACTGAATTGGAATCTGATTGTGGATTGCCGTTGAGGATTACCATATCAAATCGCACCCTAATAAAATGGACCTGCGAGTTACACCCGGGTTTGCGAAAGTGGAACGAGGTCGAGGACCCGCATCATTCCATGCCTCGTAGGATTGCAGTTGCACGTCGAAGTGAAGAAAGACTGGAAGAAAAGGGTATCGTTCTCAAAATGCATACTACACCGTCTTTCAGCGAACCTGCAATTCAGAACATTGCTTCACTGTCTTCTGGCAAGACCAAAACGTTCGATGAACGAACTCGAACGAAATTTCTAATGGTACGATAGAATTTGAATTTTTCATGAGTATGCTCGGAAATGCTTATAACTTTTGGATTTCATTTTTTCGGCTTTTAACGTTGATACAGGCTATCGGCGGAAACATTTGGATAACTCTTTAAGAAAACGTACTAAAATAATAAAATGAATCAATTCTTTAGAGGAAATTTAAGCCCACATGCTCACCTCTTGGTACTCAATTTTCACCTAAAAATTTCTTTCGCAACTTCGAAATATATAGGCATATTCAATTTTTTACCCCAACATAGTTCGTACCTACACCAGAATGGCTCTAGCTGTCGTGTTCACCTTCTGTAAATTCCATCCAGTAGCCTAATACTAGCGCGCTGATTTCACGGAAGTACATGAACTGAACACGCTGTAGTGGTGTTCTTGAAAACTCGCCATGTTTTTTCACAACCGTTTAATCACCTGTTAACAGCGAATGCACGCAAAAGTGAGCTGTATCATTTGAGCAAAATAATAGCATTTGATCGCATCTCAACGTTCCTTGGTATGCGCGTTGCATATTTCAGTCTGATAACGAACATGGTACACGGTGGAGGAATGTGTCCTTGCTCAGATGCCCAATGGTCTCTGCAAGCAGTGACTGCGTATCTCGATGCTTTACCGCAATACAGAGCGTGGCATTGGGATCACATGGGGTTTGAACGAATTGGTGGCTGAACTGGAGGAGTCGTCGTGTTGCAGTCATTGCAGCTAGAGACACTTGCTCGCAATGTTCATTTTGCTTTCTCTCTTTTTTTTTGTAATTATCCCGTTGCTCATTTTGGGGGATCCGCGACCGTTTCGACCGTGTCGATTGCCAAATGAAGCATCATACATGCCGTTTGGCAATACTATAAAGAAAGGATTTTAAAAAAAGTGTTTATTGGTTCCATAGATGGACATTTTGCAGGATTTTATTTCAGGTCTCTTCCCGCCTGCAGGAAACCCACGCAGGTGGATGAATATTGAGTCTGGATGCGGGAATCGCGCGAAATTGGGACAGGTGTTGTGGGATCAGGGAATGATCGTGGTACTCCGGCCTGGGCGGAATGGGCTTGGGTCACGATAACTATTTCCGTTTTCGTAATAATAAAAATATTCTCCGTCTGAGTCAATTTCGCAAATTCTCCAGCGGTTTGTCAAATGTTTTTGCTAATTGCCAGCAACGAAACGAGGCATTATTGATGCCACTTGTCGCTGTGATAAAGAAAAGGCGAAGGTTCACGCCTGAAAGCTATATGGCTTTTGGTAAAGCCATTGGTAATATATTTCTATTGAAAATCCACGCACCGGGTTATTGAAAGGCAGTATATTAGAGTTATCCAACGGTTGGAGGCTCAAGGCAGTCTTCTTTTTTGCCTTGGGGGTATTTGCCACCCAGTCGCATCCTAAAAGCATATGTTGCATGTCATTCGATGTACGGTCATGGTATGACTGACATTGAGGAAAAAAAATCGTTAGAATGTCTCTTATATATATTGCCCTTGTCCACTCACTCTAAATGTAAAAAGAAATAAAGTCATGATTAGCACTGAATTCCAAGCTGCATCTGATGCGTGAAACTCGCGATCAAGATCACGTAGCCCTAAGACTGTCATCTGCTGCGAGGTGCAAATCCGAATTCCGCTGCTTTGTGTTACCTCTATGTTGCGAGAGACAAGGCTAGTTTCTGCGGGGTTCCACAGATGTCGTTTGCTGATCGCTCGGCAGTCGGAATCTGGGGAAGGGAATCGAGGATTCTAGGGTTTCTCAACTCGTTTTTACGGAGGCGGACCACCTGTTGCCCAATCTCCTTCATTCGTCACGGGATGTGGGTCTTCCCTATGAAGGGACCCCTCTTTATTACATCTTCTGCTAATACCTTTACATCTCATCTCTCTCACTGTACCGTTCACATACTAGCCATTTATACCATCCACCCGTCCTGATTTTGGAAATGCATGTAAGGTCTTCTTCCATTGATGTGAGTGACTCGAGGCAATCGTCGGATGATTGCGCTTACGTGCTGTGTTTCCTAAGTCACCTCCCCGTGTAATTCGATAGTCGTCGTCCTGAAAAACAGATTTCAATGAACCTAAGGACGGGGAGCGCATGCGAAGTGGCCCGGTGGTCAGTGTGGGCCTACAGGTGGGTGTGTATAGGTGAGTGAGGAGGGAGGCCCCGTGCAGTGCCAGTCCCCTCTTGCCGTCCCTCCATGCAACTCACCCCCTACCCGGTCTCTACTTGATTCAGTCTGGTGTAGTGTTGATGGCGAGGGGTGTGCACGGATTCCTTTTCTTGGGTTCCGTTACTATGTGCCTTTGAAGAGCAGCCGTAATAGGATCTATCGTGATTCGAAATGACTTCCATAGCCAAGGAAAATGGAATCTCCTCCGAATCCAAGGCTCCACACGTGGTTAACGGGAATGGGACCATCCAAACTGCTGATCCCAAGTTATCCAAGCCACGCTATAAGGTCAGTGCTTAGTAACGTCATCCTGTAGACGTATTGACGATTGTGTCGATCGAAGCAACCTGGGTGTGGACAGTCTTTTCGGACAACGGTTTTAGCGCCAATTGTTCCTTTTTTGTTTCTCTACTACCCTGGACTCACCACCTGCTTTTATTGACTGTAGTGGTCGGTGCCTCTGCGCAAGCATCGATAAGTATGGCGAACGGTTAAATTAGCGTCTCGTTAAAAAATTTGGGAGCTTTCAAGTCCAGGAAATGAACCCATGAACCATGTCTTTGTCCTTGGTATGGGTACTGATATGGGTTACTTTCTCTTGGCGTGACGAGGCGCATCCCTTGCTAGCGCTCTTGTCATGAAGTCATCATAATTGAAGGGCAGATGATCGTGAAACCTCCTATTGAGGCGTAGGCAAAGCGAATGGTGTGATGTATTTGGCCTTTGGCCTTCACGAGGTTCACGATGAATTCGTGACTGACCTTATAAAACTAGAGAGTGCGCGGAAATGAGGGTAAAAATCCGAGGAAGATGACATAACATGACCAGGTGTATTTGATTCATGCATCTCCTGGGCCTAGGGGCGTGACCCTGCAAGAGCCAGAAGGACAACTTTCCCTCAGTGTAGCTTCTTGGCAACTTACCAATTATTCTTTTTTTCTTTCTGTCTCTCTCTCTCTCTTCAACTGGCATCGTTTGCAGCGCACACCAAGCGACTATGGCAAGGTCACGTTTTCCAGTTTGACGACTGACTGAAAGCCACCTGACTTTATAAAGGTGCTCGAGATCGTTGAAAACGACGCAGATGATTTGGTTAGGCGTATTCGATGGGCGTTACCTCTCAGACGAGTCCACTTGTGAGGGAAATCAGAGGTCATCGACATCTGTCATCAGCCCAGGCCACCGTGAAAATGTAAAAATGCGGACTGGAATCCGAATTGGAAAACATGGACATGCACGGAAAACACGACATGGTGGGAGGAGCTGGAAGAGGAAGTGCCATGAATCACATTGCCTTCATTCCCATCCAGAATGCCCATAGGCCAAGGCATTGCTTTCCTCTTCTCATCCTCATTATCCTCCTCTAATGACACACGTGGAACGTGATTCCTTTTCTTTCTTACCTTCTTTTTTCCCGCATGTACATTGAGTTCGCGAGACGGAACTTCCGCTCCCCGCTAGCCTTGACGACATTGACATTTGACTGACGAAGTTTTTATGTACATTCTTCAAGGGGGTTTTCGAAGCATGCCTCGTCCTTAGAGGGGTTTATCTTGTGGGATCGGTATCTTGTGCTGTGATTGTGCAAAGTCCGCAGTCCTTGCCGGAACCAAGGTCGTGACTTCGTGGTAACTGCTTTTTATGAAGGAGAATAAGAAGCAGAAGAAAAGAAAAAGAGCTCCGAAACAGGAAGGAATCTTTCTCTGTAGAACGTAATTGCATGTGAATCCCGTCTGAGGCGTGAATGAAAAAAGAGGCTCAGCATGGAATGCCTTATTTCGTCAGCTGAATTTAGTCCTGGGATGCGGATGACGATGCAAAGAGACCTCGGTTGAATGCGCACCCTCGGACATAACACATGGGACATACGACTGGCTCTGCTCGAGTTCCTCCTTCACCTCACCTCTGATTTCGTGGGTTTTTTTTTGCTCTTCCCCTGTCCGGCTTGTAATTCGTGTCAGTTGCTCGCTGCCCCCAATATTACATTAGAGGGGTGGAAGGAATCCCTCGTGTGCGTTGGTGGGCAATCCATGACCTCTTTTTCGTCATGGTCCTGCATAGTTCTGCTCCTTCTTTGTAAGGGAAATTCGAGACCGGGGAAAGCTGATCTCCAATGCAGTTCTCTGACGCTGACTGATGGATAGATTTCAGTTCCATTTCAAGGACTCCGTGCCCCCATTCTGACCTGATATCGATGACGCATTCGGTTCAGGTGGTTCCCTTTTGCGTTTAAATAAAAGTCATTGGTCATTCAAGGATTCCATTCTGTTCTCCAAGGGGAGAAGGAAAAACAGGATGCGTAATAAAGAACAGATGGAATGCAGTCAAGTTCAAAAGAGATGGGCAAAGAAGAAGCAACAGCGACCACGGGGTTGTCGTCACGGATTCTGGGATTTAACTGGACTGGTTGGATTCAGTAGGGGTTTAGGGGTTTCTAGCGCATACCCTCCGGTCTTGACAGAGAAGAGATGAGGGAATACTTGTCTGGTTAGGCCATTTTTTTTTACGAAGTGGACCCATAGATGCATAATTTAGAGCGATGGATCGGGGGAATTAGTGATGAAAATGATATCGATCAGTCTAGGTCATTCCCCCTTCAAGGTTACTACCTTTCCCTATCGACTCAGCCAGTTCATGTGCAGTACCGGTGTTCGATGATACGATATGCGATTCAAGTTTCACGTACATTATTTTTTTCCCGAGCCCTTGACTCGTTTTTCCACCAAGGTGATCAGGCTGAAACGGATTACGGACTGGCAGGAAGGTGAGGATTTAGGCGTTACCTCGGATAAGAGTTGGTGAAGTTGAACCCTATTGTTCATTTTCTGCTTGAGCTAGGAAGTTGATTGAATGCAGAGTTGAATGAACCATTTAACTACTACCATTCTCATTCCCTCTCAGGGGGAGAAAAATCCTGGGGGTGGCCGTTCCTTGTGCATTTTCCCCCTTCCTCTTAGGTTTACCTATTGCTTGGACACGATGTAGAAGTGTTGCAAGAAGTCATATCTTGAGGGATTTCATGAGACGAGCGTGAGCTATCACCCTGTTAAATCCGTCGTGTACCTTAAGCATGTGATGAGCTTTCGAAGCACAGGCAGCTGTACCGGGTCTTGGCTTGAGGCAGGTCTGTCTAACGTCATCCCTCGGATGATCAAGGGCGAAACGAAGCAGATACTGTAGGGAAGTAGTAAGTACGCAGAGGTCATTCTGCGGGGAGGAAATGGGGGGAAGGGGACAATGAATGATGTGCTATTGTGATGATAACATCACTCCTGGTTCCCATTATTTCAGTGAAGGGGAAAAAATTTCCGCCCCTGGGCTCTTCCATCATTTCCAGTGTTGTGTGAGAAAAGTTCGTTGTCTGGGGTCTGTCGGTCTGTCTGCTCTTGCCTTTCGGATTGCTCCACGTGCAACCCACACAAGGACCTATGTAATAAAATAGAAGAGGCCTACGTCTTCCCGCCCATATAATCAGTTGTTAATGATCCCCTGGTTCATGTATGGAGAAGGGAGGAGACTTCATTCTGGCTGAAGGGGATGAATGTCTTGCACAACTCTCTGGAATGGTTCTTCGTGTCACGTGTGAAAAGCCTGCCTTGGGGATCGGACTCATTCGGGCCATATTCGGGAAGGAAGACAAGGAGATGAGAGATGTCCCCGTGCTTGGAATAATATTTTCTGCTGCGCACCGCAAAACCTTTGTCCTCCCTTGATTCTCGCATGCTTGGGAAAGAGAACGAGAAGATATGGCATGTAATGAGTGCGGTCTCCGTCTTCCTTTCCTTCACCTGTTCGGAAAGACAATGAAGATTACGTTGTACATGAATGTTGAAAGATTGCCGCAACCCGAGAGAGACAAGTCTAGAGTCTCTTGAGCTTCTGTTGAGCAATCACTGCCCTGCCCCCGGCCTCCTCCAGGTCCAGGTCCAGGTTTCTCGACCAACAAATTCATTCTTCCTCGATCGTCGATTTCCTTTGTCTTAGTAAGGAAGGCGGGCGAGAACCGTCGTGTTATGGTCATCCATGCAGAAATTCCCATCTCCCCCTACCGCTAGCCTTCTTTTCCTTCTCAGACACCATCATTTAGTCGGGTCTTCAGCGCTTCATGTGCTATAGGATGAGAGGGGCAGAGAGGAGGGGGGGGGACGAAAGAAACGAAAAAAAAATCGATCGACCCGCTACGATACCTTTTTGCGTGTGATTTTTTTTCCTTTCCTTTTTCTTCATCCTCACGCCGTGGGAATTCGGACACGAACCGTGCCACTCACATGAACCGTTCATAATTACCAGTTGGCTCTTTGGAAGATGAGGGAGAAGTCGGCCAATCCTGATTGCCTGGAATCCATGAAGTTTTCCCACTTTAACTCACCGAATCTTCTTTTTTCCCTCAGGTTAAGTTGGAGAGAGTCCTGGGATTGACGGTGACCTCGAATGCTGCCCTAGATTGTGACCCCAATTCCGGAATTATCGCCTATCCTGCAGGGTGAGTAATGAGTTCACTGTCCCGAGTTACTATTTCGTCGCACCTGAGCGTCATCACCTTATCGTTGTCTTCATTGTAGTCCTCAACCTCAACATCGCGCTCTCTTACGACTGATTCTATTCAGGGGACCTCCCTCCCTATGTGGAGAATGAATGAGTAGTATTCATGGTCCGAAAAGCCGTTATTTGAGTCCGCGAGGAGGTGAGAAAGGTCACACGGAGGTGCGTGGGGCGTGGATGCATTGTCCTCTTGTCATGTCTCCTGTGAGAAGAGTATCCGAAATGTTCTCGTCATATATACTCTACACGATCCTGGCGTGTAGAACGAAATATTAATGGACTTCACATCGCCCTTCTTCGACCTGGTTGAAAATAGTGGGAAAGAATCCCCGTTGCTCGTCCGTGGACGGTACCAGTCTAATCAGCGTGGCCATGGTCGTGGTTTCCTCTTCTCTCCTCTCCCATTTTTTCCTTCCCATTTACTCCTTACCTTCTTTTTTGCCATTCATGCCTGGGGTTTAAGCAGAATTTCGTGAAACGTGCTGGAAAGCTCACATATGCACGTGAGGCTCGGAGCATAAAGAGAAGGGCATGCTGTCCCAGTTTCCCTTCAGACAGCTGGTGGAGAAATGGAATAACATGAAGGAAGACGTCCATTCCGCGTTTCTCATTCCATCATCAGCATCATCATCGCCATCATGTGCCTACACATTACATCCTCCGTACACAAGGTGGTTTTCTAGCGCAGTGGCGCCTCATTCTGGTCGTGACTGGAAAGTGAGGTCATCAAGGATGACAGCATATCACACGCTTCCGCCTATTCCGTCAACGTACCCCCCCCCCCCCCCCCCCCCCCCCCCCCCCCCCCACCCCAACTGTCTCTCACACGCATAACGGATCGGTAAACCCGGCTAATTGCCGCCATCGGAGACCCAGAGGGAAGTTCCGAGAGCGACTGACGAGTTATACGACAATGGTTCGTTCGCCACATGACCATTATAGCTCATAAACGAGCCATCGGGAGAAGCTGTACAATGTTTGTCTCCGTCTTCCATGAGATTGTTCTGCTCTCCTTTCCCCTGGATCTAAGAGGAAAACCAGGTGAAGGCAACCGCAGTCTCACTAATGCGTCGGCATGCATGAATACTAGGAAGGAGCCGGGGGGGAGGGGGTTAAGTGAGTATAATACACGTGAAAGACCGGGAAGTTGAAAGAAGAGTCCCCGAAGCAAGCAAAAGCCTCAGGGCTCATGTCCCAGGACACGAGACCGTATTTCCTCCTTAGCCTACCTCTTTCCTTCCTGCTCTTCATAGTGCAGGATTTTCTACCGTGAACTCCATGCGTGATAGGGAATACTTTTCCCAGGCTTCTCCATCGAAACGACGTTGACGGAATAGGCGGAAGCGTGTGATATGCTGTCATCCTTGATGACCTCACTTTCCAGTCACGACCAGAATGAGGCGCCACTGCGCTAGAAAACCACCTTGTGTACGGAGGATGTAATGTGTAATAGACCCTTTCCTCACCATAGACTGCAAACAAATCTATCTGCTAGAGCTCCTCCCTCAGAGATCTTGTACTTGCAAGTCCGAGCTAGCATCCCGAGTCCTACTAGGAAGTCAACCCCTGACTCAGTTTCAGTCTTCTTGCTTGCAATTGTGAAACTTTAACGTTCAGATGGCTGAAAGTGCGAGACGTAAGATTTCATCTCATGGACTTCCTGAGGCGATGAAATCTTTCGAGGATTAGGAAGATCTATGTGTTTCAGGAACTTCGTTCATGGAATTAGAAATGTAGGAGTCTCTAGCTCTTCGAATCCAAGGGTTTGACTTCTTTTTGCCATTCATGTCGAAAGAATGTGCGATTGGATATAACTTGTCATTATGTAATGTAGAGGGGTTCTAGAAACGTTTCTGTTGGGAGGCCTAGGTTGATTTCAAAAGGGCAGTTCGGTTGCAGTTCGAGTTTAGTTCCAGTAGGGTTTTTTGTTCGAGAATAGTCGAAATGTGCCATTTGAACCCAAGTCAGACCGCAGTTGTGAGAGTCTGTGCCGACTCCCCGTCCAATCGTAGTCAGACTTCAGTCTGACCAGAGGTGACACTAGTTCCATCTGATTAGTATATCTGAAGCCTCTCTTCTGTCATGGCGCCTGGAGAACTCGAATTAGACCCACCCTTAGGCAACTGTCTCGAGGGGAAGGGCAAGCTAATAAATACATATCTGTCTTGATTTCTTCTTCCTCTGAGTTGAAGTTGGTGCTGCTTTGTTTTCCTTGTCACGTCACGGTGAAATGAGGATGATACATTGCTTGCATTTGCCATTCGCAAATCGTGGCTTCGATGCACCCCGCATGCGATTAAGTCTTAAAGTGGCGACGTATGCAGCGGAACGCATGCCCAGTGTCGAACTGAATCATGAATTTGACACCGATATGTGGCTGGCTTCGAACCGTTTCAATTCATTTATATCAATAACGTACAAGGAAGTTAAGAATGGGTCAACGAGAATTCGGACTACAACTGACTGCAGTTGAACAGAAAATAAACTGAAGCGAGTGGCAACTGCAGTCTTGCCATAGTCCAACTACAGTCAAACAGGAACTGGAGAATGATTTCAAAATCTCAGTCCGTTCAAAGTCCAGTCGTAGTTCCAGTTGACCGCAACTGCAACCAAACTGGGACCATCTTAGGACTATATTTCAAATGGAACTGAACTGCGGCTTTGAAATCAACCCTAGTCTGGACTCAGGTTTACAGCTCCAACATAAGAAAAGTGCTAGGGAAACGCGGGAAAATACAGGAATGGTAAGGAAAGCCTGGGTTAATTGAGATGATGATCCGTAATGACCGGTCCTTTCCGTCTCCTTGACCTTTCAACCACATGGCGTGCAGAATCACTCCTTTTTTTTTTTCTTTCTCCTAACCTCCTCCCCTTCCTTTTCCCGCGTACATCCCTGTGTGCGCTGGACACATACTTCTAGGATGGCTTTGTTGAATAGCAGGATCCCTTTGCCCTTGCTAACAGGAGTCTGAGCAAAAAGCGTTCTTTGAACGGAAGAAATTTCAACGGAAAATTTTAAAAATAATTTGATTTCAGTAGACGAGACGAGCTTTCATATCAAAATGGAACAGCTTCCGATTTAGATTGAAAAAAACCTGCGAAGTTGCAAGGGAGGAAGATTATATAATTAGGGAGAGGAGTTGCTCTCATTGTGGCTTGAGCCCGGGACAGGTCATCTCTAGGGGTGATTTCCCCTTGACTTTTTCCTCTCCCCACAGACCCTACTTACTATGACCCTGACTGGCTGTGGTCGATTCAACCGTGAGAAGAGAGGGAAAAAAAGAGAGTCCCCCCTCGCCTGACAATTACCATGCCTTTCTTGCCTGGGAAATCCGGACTTTAATTGGGCCAGTCTGCTGAGTCTTTTAAGCCCGGCATTGATAGACCCTCTTCACAGTCCCACAATCGGTTTCCTCATCATCCTGCTTCGTGTTTAATTATTTCCCGCTTTCTGTTCGTATGAATAGCATTCGTCTTGTGCTCCCGTTTATCAGATTTCCTTGGCCGGCAGTGCTTGTCGTTATAGGACTTATACCTTTCCTTTCCTGAGATGATGGTCGAAAGTGAGTTAATTTTTTGACAGCATTTTCCCAAACCGCAGGCCTCCATTAAAATCAGAATCGAATTAGGTATTAGATGAAGCAATGCTGAGGAGATAAGAAAGGTCGCTCTGTGGTTGCCCGGACTCATCATCCATCTGCAGAGATTACGCTTCATTCTTCATTGTTTCCTTCCCGCCTCCAGGAAGAACAGTCAATATTGGCCTTAGAAGACGATATGAAGGGAAAATAGAAGCTTTCGAGGATCATGCGGATTTCCTTCTGTTTGCTTCCCAAGATGTGATGTAAAAACGATGGAAGAGATGCAGGTGCATTCATTGATCGATGCCTTCTGGACATTCCTTTTCACAACGTTGCTTCATCCACTTTCACTTCGCCTTCCTCCTCTTAGCACAGACAGGTGTGCAGATGACAGACAAAACGAGAGAAATCTGATATCCTCCTATCCCTGGATCATTCGCTTTGACACAATGAGCCCCACCTTATTTCATATTCAAGGCCGCCGAATTAAGGCGCACCTGGAGTAGATGGTGGGGTTCCTCCAGGACGAGCTCGGTTCTCGACGGGTGGATGATAAGAGAGTTTGATACGCGCTGAGAAGCAGGGAAAAAGAAAAAACGAGAGGAAATGCCGCCTAGGTTGGATGAAGTCCAAGAAAAGCTCCGTCTTTATCGAAAGAAAAAAAAAAGAAACCGTTCTACTTCTTGAATGGAAGCGCTCGAGAGAATCTGGAACTCCATTTATTGCACTAGCCACAAGGAGGTTTCTGGTGGTATCTCCACAGGTAGAGAGAGAAACGAGAACGACCTTGACAGTGACCGAAGGAAGAGGTGGTGTGGTTGCCTCCGACACGGTCCTCAAGTTTTCGAGAAGAAACATAACTGTTCAGACTATCTGAGATTTCCTCCGGCCGCGCAAAAGGAAAACCACAAAAGCTTCTGTCCTCTTACGGCACTCAATAGCAGACTCACAATGACACTTAAGTAAATAGAAATGTGAGAGCATCTCTCAGGTCAGATGATCTCTCCTTCGCGCCTTCATGTGTAATTAGGTCAGAACTTGGACATTTAAAAGTCCAATCATCTTTCTCCTCCTCAATAACCTCCCCGAGTTAAGGAATGGAGAAAGTTTCATCCGTGTGGATATGCTTTGCCTGTACAAAGAATGCAGAGAAAAACAACTCTCAGGCTGGTGTTATGTAACCTCTTGCCAGCATCATACAAGAGGGAATTGAGATCTGCATCTCCTGGTTTACGTGCACCCAACTGGTTTTTTTCCCCCCATCCTCCTTGTCACTTTTATTTAACCCTTTAACTGGCACTCAGAAATAATCGTAAGAATCCCCCCCCCCCCTCGAATAAGGAGTTTTTCGCTCCAAATTATTATTGTCATTCTATAGATATTTAGATACTTAAATTAGACGTTTAAAACATTTAACCCTTATCCTGCGATGGGAGTCTATTGGACTCCTCAGGGTGTGTTTCATTGCATTTCTCTCTGGCAATTTTTTATTATAAATGTCTAAATATATCATTTATCTGTCAGACAGTTATCCATAGATCCAAAAAAGAGTTTTAAAGTTTTGATTTGCATTTAAGGAAAAAATTCTTAAAATTTTTGTCCATTTGTGTCGCAAAAATGCCTTGAGCAAACAGTTGAAGGATTGAGGCATTCCATCTGTGTCAAAGGAGAGGATAGGTGAAACTAGACAGAGAGTGACCTTGGTTCCCCTGTCCTCCAATATGCAGATGATGCTGAATGAGGAAGGGAGCAGGTTGCTGCCATAACAAAATTTGTTCACACTTAAGAGGGCTTCTTGCCCTCTGGCAGTATTTTTCTTTTTGCTGCTAATTGATGGAAGACCCTACACTTGATCTCCAAATAAGGGAGACAATGTGACATTGGATAAAGGCAAAGAGGGTTGGGTCTCCTCTTCAGTCCTCTTCAGTTCCACATCCCTTCAGTCACCTTTCAGCATCTCCCCCCCACCTGGTTGTCAGCAAGACCCTTTCAAGGACAAGAATTCCTGATTTCAGTCTTTCTTTGCAGCAACACCTCAGTAACTCTTGTCAATAATTTGACTTAAGGACTTTTTTTGCATTTGAAAAAAGGAGAAGAAAGGGGCAGTTTAAGTCTGATCTCTGACATGCCAAATGGAAGACTCATGCATGTTGATGCATTAGTTGTACCTTCCTCCATGTAGGTGCACAGTGGTGTTGCTCAATCCCCGGAAGAATAAGCAGACACACCTTCTGAATGCAGGGAAGAAAGCAATATCATGCCTCAGCTTTTCCAGTGATGGGAGGTACTTGGCAACTGGAGAGACTGGTCACATGCCCTCTGTCAGGGTATGGGATCTCCAGGATCGCCTCCAGGTGGCCGAATTCACTGGACATAAATTTGCCATTAACTGTGTGGTAAGTCAGTATTCTCTCTAGAACCATGTTTCATTTTTGGAGCCAGCCATTCATCTTGCTTGTCTATCCCTCCTGTGTTGCAGGCATTCTCCCCCACACAGAAACATGTAGTATCAGTCGGATCCCAACATGACATGATTGTGAATGTCTGGGACTGGAGGAACAATGCCAAAGTAGCCAGCAACAAAGTCTCATCAAAGGTGAAAGCCATTTCCTTTGCTGAGAATGGGAGTTATTTTGTCACTGTTGGGAACCGACATGTCAAGTTCTGGTACCTGGAACATTCACGGGGGTCATCCAAGGTTCATGGTTTTCTCATCACCCTCCAGTCATCTTCTGGAGGTTGCCATGTATTGATCTTTAAATTCTGCTCTTTCACTAGTTCAAGGAGCCAGTACCTTTGATGGGTAGGTCAGCCATTCTTGGAGAGCAAAGGAACAATTATTTCTGTGATGTTGCCTGTGGTCGAGGTGAAATGGGTGATTCAACATTTGCCATCACCAAATCAGGGCTTCTCTGTGAATTCAACAGCCGACGCCTCCTTGACAAATGGGTTGAATTGCGGGTAAGCACTTGCCTTTATTATGCCATTGCCTGTTGTTTGTAAGCAGATGTAAGTTGTATCTGTAAGTAGTAGCAATAAAGCAAATGACACAAGGAACATTGTGTTCAGATAAACTCTACCCTTTTGTCTTCAGACATCAAGTGCCAATTGTCTTGTGGTTGGGGAGGAGTATATATTCATTGGTTGTGCCGATGGGATTGTACGGTGCTTCAGTCCACTTACCCTGCAATTTGTCACAACATTGCCACGAACTCACTACCTAGGTGTTGATGTTGCACGTGGACTGACTATCAGGTATGTCATTCATTTATTTCTTGGATCATATGTATTGACTGGAATATGGGCAGTAGCCCTTGGTAGTGCTAAGATTTTGAATGAGATGATGAAAGGTTGGGCTTCTGGCAGCTTGCCTGCCTTTCAGATGAGTTTTTTATAGTCAAGCTGAAGCTGACAGTTGTAGCCCAGGGCCAAAGAAACTGGCTCACAACGGCAAACAGAACAGGTTCACTCTCCCTCTTGCTGTAGATAGCCAAATTTGGAAGACCTGCTTAATTCCTCAGGCAGAAGCCATGATCAAGGTGAAAAAAAATAAATGGGAACCTGATGAGTGTTATTAATTTTTATTCCTTCATATCTTAACAACATGCAAATGTTCATGAATTGTGAACTTGGGTCTTAATGAGTTTTCAATTGAATTTCATCATAGACTTCATTTCCTCAAGACATTTTGGTTCCTGACTTCTCTTCCTTCCTGTTTTTCAGCCATATGGCAAGTCAGCCAGTCAACGCCAAATACCCGGATGCCATAGCAGTCACTCTTGATGAGGCCAACCACAAGGTCACCTGCATCTATAGTGACCATAGCATGTACATCTGGGATGTACATGATATACGACGGGTGAGTAAAATCTCCAAAGAGGGCTTGCTATATGACCAGAGATGTGTGAAACCAAGAAAATTTTCATAGGGTTGCTACAAATTGAGTGTATGAAGAGCACGTTCATAACAGTGTTATTGATGTGATTTTTAAGGAAGCTTATTGTGGGAATACTGTTCAGGGGTATTCCCACCACATACTTCACAAATATTCATGACCTTTCTTACATATTTGTGTAGGTACTAGGAACCTCCCATGGTGATGATGTATATAAGTGCAAATAGATTTAGTCACTGTGTGTATTGTCTGGATTCCAGGTGGGGAAGTCATACTCATTCCTGTTTCATTCGGCATGCATCTGGGGAGTAGAGGTCTATCCAGTCATGGAAGGGGGTTACAAAGGAGTTCTTCCTCCTGGAAGCTTCATGACATGCTCCTCTGATGATACCATTCGGGTTTGGAATCTGGATCCCAATATGGCTAACAATACTCTTTACAAAAGGAACATATATAGCAATGTATGACATTAATTCTCTTATTCTCTTCATGTATGGAGTGTATGAGAGTCATCATCAAGGTCTTACTCTTGCCTTTGCTTCCAGGACCTGTTGAAGGTACTCTACATGGACTCAGATTACACATACTTATGTGATGTGAACCAGAGCTTTTCTGGGAGTACAGAAAAGACTGATTCATCCTGTGATGGAAAGAATGGAGTTCGATGTTTATGTGTTCGCCCTGATGGAAAACATCTTGCATCTGGAGATCGAACAGGCAATATCAGGTGGCTGGCAATCTCTTAACTCTTTGCCTGTCCTATCAACTGCTATTTGGATGGCACTACTTTCTCCACCATATCCATTCAACCAATCTGGTCATCCAATCACCAATCCAGTCAACCTTTCTGTGGTTGATTAAGAGTAAAAAAAAAAGTCATGATGTTCCAAATTATGTTTGCAAGATCTACTCAAATTCAAATATTTGATTCAGGTCCTGGGGTAACCAAGCATTTTTCATTTGGGCGGGGAAAGTGTTAGCCATTTATGACTCATTCATTTTATCAACCTGGGGTATTTTCATGAGATTTAATTTTTCTCATAAATGAGCATAACTCATAACTCAAATTGTAATTTGTAGTTGAGAGTTTAAGTGGTAGGAAATTATTAGGGAGTGTTGCTTGTCTCTTATAGCTAAAATTGAAAGTTCTTAGTTCTGAATACAAACCTTAACAATTCCTGTCCAACTTTTCACATTGAGAATCTTCCATTATGTGCACCTTTGTTAAACCCAGTGACTTTGCAGAGTAACCGTTATTTCCATCACACCTTGTGTCCTCTGGGCTGTTTGTTACTGTGAAGCTGATATCTACATAAAAGCCAGCATTAACTGAAAATGTCAAATATTTATGCTTCAAAAATTATCCCAAGAGGGCTTCTTTGCCTAGGAAACAGCAATGCCAATTAATAGAATTTAGACCATGCAACTGGAATGATGAACTGCATTCATTAATAACATTGGTCTGTATTCAGTTTGCTTAAGACAAGCACTCCTTTTAGTATCCAAAGCAATTTGCATTTCTTTCCAAACATGGGATACTGGAGAAGCAAAGGTTAGTGCATACTGGTGAATGAAGATTATGAATGAGTTTTACATCTTCATTCATTTCAGCTAGGATGGACCAGTGTCCACTAGTAGGTAACCAGTCACTCTTGACCCCTTTAGCCAAGAGTCACTGTGTCTTCCCTATGGTAAAACTGATAGACCTTTGAGATGACAGTTGCTGATGTATTATTCAGGATCCATGAGTTGCAGTTCATGGATGAAATCTGCAAGATTGAAGCCCATGATGCAGAGGTCTTATGCCTAGAGTACTGCAAGCAAGGACAGACATTCCTGGCATCAGCTTCAAGAGATCGCCTTATCCACCTGTTTGATGTTGGGAAGGATTATTCCCTTCATCAGACATTGGATGACCACTCATCTTCAATCACAGCTGTCCGCTTTGTGACTGCGCATGGGGAGCCCTTGCTTCTTTCTTGTGGAGCAGACAAGTCCATCATCTTCAGGCGTTCTCAGCAGGTGGAAACCATCTCTTTTTTATGTCTCTATGTATAGGCAAGAAATGAGGAATGATGGGCCAAGTCCGATATGAATACATACATTTTACTTCTCACTGTGAACTGTTTACTTCAAATGGTAATGCTCTTTTTATTCAATTGTACATGTCTGCTTTGAGTTTACAAATGATACCACAATTCCATGTACTGTGCTCACTTCTTGAGGGGCAACTACTCTATTTCATTGCTACTTGAAGCACCTGTTTGAGTGACAACTTACCCTTCCCAGTCAAAAGTTTGTTTTTTTTTTCCCTGAAACTGCAAAGACTGTGGGAGATCTTTTTTTGGGGTCCTATAGTATGGACAACATGAATTGCATGACACATTGGCTTAGCATTGACATCAAAGTATTGTCTGGAGGATTATAGAAAGAGCACAGTTTGTCTTGGCTCAATGTAAGTTCTGGTTTATTTTTGACTGGCAGATGGAGTACTGAAAAATGTGCAGATTTCAAGCTCAAGATTTTTGTTAAAAATCTATCACAATGTAGAAGCAGCCACTGGCATTTGAACAATTAGCCAAAAGTCTGATTGATTATTGATGGGGCATCACTATTGTCAGTTGACAAGATGAATCCATGAGTCCAGCTTTGTTTGGCCAGACTTTTTCCATTGAGAGATTTTACCATCATGTCTCTCAATGAACCACAATTTGTGCCTGACATCTTTTATGCAGGCTCTTGGACAGAAGGGAGGACCCCAGTATTCACGATTCCATCATGTCTCTGGGAAGACAACCTTGTATGATATGGAGCTGGATTTGTCCCGCAAGCACATCCTGACAGCATGTCAAGATCGAAACATTCGTGTCTACAATGTCTCCAATGGCAAACATAGCAAGACATTCAAGGGAACACTTGGCGAGGAAGGGACATTGATCAAGGTCAATCCATTTACTGTATTTTTCTTTTATTGTGATTGTATTCTATTCAATGAGATCATCTGTCTGATCCTTTTTGTGTCTAGGAAGGTAGGAAGCACCATGTCAAGCACCAAGAGTAAACATTTTTTTCTTAAGTTTCCAAGGAAAATTTTAAGCATGAAAAGTAAATTGGAATCAATGTCTTTAAGGCATTCTGGCTGTTAGAGCAGGCTGTTACAGGCCCTCCTGACCACAAGTATATTAACATGACTCCTTTTACTTTATTTCAGTTGGTGCTGGATCGAAGTGGAATGTACATTGCAACCAGCTGCACTGACAAGAGTCTATGTATCTATGATTACTACAATGGAGAGTGCATGGCAACCATGTTTGGCCATTCAGAGTTGGTGACAGGTCTTCGCTTCAGTAATGACTGTCGCCACTTGATCTCAGTGTCTGGGGATGGCTGCATCTTTATCTGGAAGATCCCCACAGAAATGACTCAGGCCATGACCAGCCGTCTGGCACAATTAGCAAGCAAACATGGTCGCCGGGCTACCCATTCCATTCCTCGCCCATTTGGTGGGCCAGGTCATGACCTTATCTCTGCCTCTGCTGTTGACCTCCTTGACCAGAATGCCAATGATGTTGAAGAGTCTGAATACAGGTGAGGGAATGATGTGATGGTACTTTATGACCACAGAGTATTTTCATCATCTTGTGAACACAGAAGCTTCAGTTATGTAAGGTTGCCATCCATAACAGGTTCAGTATTGGCCAGTTGCCACTCTGGGCCAAAAAGCAGATTGCAGAGGCTCACTCCCCACCACTACCTATGGGTAGAGGAGGGCCAGAATTGCCCAAAGGAAGATGGGCTCAACGAATTGAATCTCAGGCCATCACTGTCCGTTCTCACTATGATTCTGATAGTGTCATCCCCCTTCCTATTCCTCAAGGTGCAGTTCAATCAACCATTTCTTTCCCACTATAATTCTCATCATCCATGAATCTCATTTTGTATTATTCTATCCTTCAATTTTTTTTTTTGTTTAAGGTGATTCAGAATCCTCAAAGGACAGTTCTCTTGAGAGTTCTGGGTCAGAGGTACGACACTTTTCTGCAGATTATCCCCGTCAAACACTGATTCTCTCCAAAGAGGCAAGTTCTTCAGAATTTACCATATCTTCTTCAATAATGTAATATTTATTATTTCTATGCTTAATATCTTTATTTAAAAAAAGGGGGTTTTAAAGTTCAAAGTTTAAAAGGGAATCAAAATTCTGATTGCATTGTTATTAACCCTTTCATGGTTATGCACTGAAATGTCAGTTGTCCTCCAGGGAGGTTTCGGGAAAACTGGACCATGAAAGGGTTAAAATGCTGTCATATTTGCCAGTTGATTCCATGCAATTGTTAGGAAATGCTCATGCTACTTAGAGCCAGTAAAGTGCTTTTTAAGGGAGAGTCGCTCCACCATTGCTCCACAGGAACAGTATTTAACCACTTTGATTGTCCAACTTGAGGCTCAATACTTTATACTATGTAAGAAATTGGTTATGTGCCAATTTGCTTTAGGTCAGTTGTTACAATGAAATACTTCTCTGTGAAGCTTGTATAATACATGTGACAATTTGAGTTATATTGCTACATTGTTAATAGCATTGCAGCAAATATCCTGAAAGTATAACTAAAGACCCAAAAATAAAAAGCAGTGCTTGGTGGTTAGGTGTTTCACTGATATGAATGCTCTTATTCCCCTGATTGCTTTGCCACTTACTTGCACATTGATGTTGCCAGGTTTTTTTTTTTAGAGTGGCACCAATTTTTGTGTTTGTTCTCACTCCACTCACATCTTCATTCAGGAACCTGATGCTGATTTCATCCCTTGCCCTGACAATTACCAGAAAATTACCAGAGAGATACCTGATTTTGAGGTAATCCCTGATCCCTATAACAGTATCCATTTCTCCTGCATGCTATCTCATTATTAGTAAGTATGATTTCCCCATTTAATTGCATGTTTTGTGAGAAATAGGTGGAGGTGTATTACAAGTTGTAGATTTTCTATCTTGACTCATGGCTTCTTCTGTTCATGCTTTCTGTTGTTCGTTCAGGTATATGAAGTGCAAAAGGAATTAAGAGGGCTTTGGGGCAAGTAAATTTTTTTTTCTGGCTCCAATTCTGTAGTAATTATTTCAGAATGAAATAAATCTAAGCAATGAACCAGTGGTTTTGCTTGGTTCACTGCTTGGAATTATTTTGTTTTCTAACAGTAAGTTATAGGCATTCATTCATTGACACAGTAAAAATTGAAGCAAGCATGCATAAAATTCACTGGAACATAGAACCTGCCTCCATTTGTCACTGCACACAGTTTGACAGCAAAGCATCATTATGAACTCCAGGAGAATGAACATGGGTAAAATTTCATTGATATTGAATCGGTTTCTCATATTTGGCTACAAGTGATGAAGGGGTGTGTACCTTTAAATTTGTTATGCATAAAATAGCCTCTTTGAAGGAAAAATAACTATAATAAATAAACTAAATATTAAATAAAACTAATAATGGGGGAAACGTGAAAACTAACAGAATGATAAGTATTTTGGTTCTATTTTAAATTTTAGTTTGCATGTGTAGTGTACCGCACCATATCTGATTGAGGAGGCAGGTTCTATGTTCCAGTGAATTTTATGCATGCTTGCTTCAATTTAAAATTTAAAATAGAACCAAAATACTTATCATTCTGTTAGTTTTCACGTTTCCCCCATTATTAGTTTTATTTAATATTTAGTTTATTTATTATAGTTATTTTTCCTTCAAAGAGGCTATTTTCTGCATTTTCGGAGACTCGAAGTCGGCACCTGACTGATGATTCCAGCAGCAGTAGTTTCAAATTTGAGGTGAGAAAAAGAAATTGGGCACCTTCCTATTATTCCTCTGGTCTCAGAACCGGACAGTTCCTGAAGTCTCAATTGCAGACGTTATCATTACGTACAGATAAGTATTACACCTCCTTGGGCATGTGGCATTCCACCTTAAAGCAAGGGAGGAATATGAAGGAAAGGTAGAGCCAGATATTAGAAGAGGCTTTAACTTGGAAGCAGAGGTCCAGAAAAACGACAACCTTGCGAGCTTAGCTCGAGGGAAATGAGCAAGAATGGGCAAGCAGGAAGAAAATCGAACAGCTTGAATAATGGCGAAAGAGAGAGAGAATTATTTTAAAATCTACTAGGGCAACTATATTCAAGCGCCGGTGAAATTTTTCACTGATCTGGAAAGCTGCATTCAATCGTGCAAAAGTAGATGATATGTGTCCGCGCGATCCCGTGCCATCACTTTATTGAACTTCTTATTGTCAAGAGTTTCATCTGCTCTTCCTTATCGTGGCGTCAGATGTCCCGCACGTTGCCATGCAGCAAGAAACAGGTTTACATGAGCGCGTAGCAAATACGCGAGTGCCCGGTTCAGTCGAAAGATGTTTTTCATTAATTCCAAACTTAAAACCTTCCGCTCCATTTGATACACCTGCGTAAATCGTGTGTTGTTCGTTCGACGCACAGTACATTTCACTCGTCCTCACTGACAGCGCGTGGTGAGGAATGGTGCAAGAGACGGGAAATCGGCCGATGGGCCTGTGCATGCCTTGTATGTCCCGACGATCGGAAGACCTCTCACGTTAAGGTACAGATATGAAGCTCTCTACTGACATCAGATCGCACGTTTTCCGGCAAAATCTAGGACTCCTCGTGTGGCGTTCTGTAGGGCTCTACCCCTGCTCGTCACGTCTCTCGTCCTCGTCCTTGAAGTTGGCATCTTTGATCATGGGGAAGGAAAAGATGAGAGGCCGTTAGAGTGCCTTTTCCTCCATGATGCAATCACTCCGAGTGATAAGTACGAGACGCCATCGGAAAGTAGCTTCCATTTATTTCACTTCACCCGTTCCTCCCAACGACGCCAAGACTTGGGAGAACTGGGACTTGTAAGACTATTGAGACTGCTCCCAGAAATCCCAACCGTTGTTGCCACATTTTTTAAACTCAGGCTTTTGGGATCAAAAGCTTATTTCCAAAAGCGCTTGAAGTTAGAGTTGGGGAAGCTCAAACTTCAAGGACTTTTTGTGAGATTTCCCCCTACCGATATGGAAGTTCACAGTCGCAATATGTACACGCACAATTTCCGAGGGAGAGCGAGGAGGTATGCTAGGGATTGGAACAGAGGGGAGAGAGCGAGGAGACGAGAGAAGCACTTGTATAAAGAAAAGTACATGTTGGGCCAGTGTACATGCCATCCCATTTTCACACAGGAATGTGTGTGTCTAAGGATTTTCATACACTTGGCAATTAATTACTCGTTAGCTAGTAAGCAGGTGTGTAACATCTGACCAGCTATAGTTTGACATGGATACAATAGGCCAGTGACCCAATCGAGTCCTTGATAGGGCACTGTCATCAAATGCATCAAAGCCTTCATAACGGAAAGTATATTCTAAGAATTTGTATCATTTCATTTGCACATGTCAAATATCCAAATGTGTGAATTTCTAAAAGTATCTCAAGGCAAACACCCTATATATCTACAAGGGCCATATGAAAAATTCACAGTCTTTTCTCTCCACCATTAGCTCCTGTTGGAGCTGTGCCAATTTTCTGGTTAAGATGAAATTACCATGGCAGTGGCAATAATTTATGCCATTTTCATGTGTGTATGTTATTTCTGGCAAGTTGCATAGCTTTTTTTTTATTATTCAAGGTCATTTTGGTATACACTCATGGAAGACTCAGGTAAGAACATTGTGTAGTGATTGAATTTTTAATGAGGGAGGGTGAAAAGGAGCTAAAATAAATAAATAAATGAGGAAGAGTTTTGTCATGTAGTACTGGTTTTGAATGAACAAGTTGTTTTCAGGATAGGAGGACCTTTCTTTCTTATGTTCCCTAATCTGGAAGATCCTCAACAGCTTTTATACCCCTGATTGTTCTATGGCTTGAAAACCTCTTCTTGGATTATTGCTGATTGACACTGAAGGACATAGAGGCTGCCAATTCCTCAACTTAGAGTAAGATGAGAAATATGTGCCAAAGTTTAGTGAAATTATGTTATTAGGGAAACCGACACTATTGTTATGCTAGTAGCATGAAGGCAGGAGTTTAACCCTTGTGTTTTCTTAAAGGATCACACTGGCTTCTCCTGCTGAGGGAAAGAATAGTTTTTGCCTACTCCTAGATTCCCTGAAAACCATGATCAGTGAGATCCATGGACTATTAATTAAGCATACTGCACCATAGGAGCCTAGCCTATTGCTGAAGTGGTTTTTTGCATCAAATCAGGTTGATTCTCAGTCTCTGGGCCATATTATCAAATTCTCAGTGAACTATTCCATGAAGGTTTTACCTACTAAACCTTGATAAGATAAGGCCATGGCAATTTGACCCTTTTGTGATAACTGTATTATGTGATCTTTCACAACCTCCTGGTTTTGATGAAAATCAAGGGACTTTATATATATATATGCAGGAAGGAGAGACAGAACATGATGGAGATGTAGAAGACTCGGAGAATGAGGATGGGGAATCACCTGACCTGGATCAGCCAGAGCCACTTCTCTATTTACCTCAGAGTCAAGAACCAGCCAGGTACAAGGAATTTTGCTTGAATCTCAAAATTGCTGAGAGCTCTCATGCTGTAAAAGTCCAGCAATTGCTTTTTCTTCCTGTTTCCCATCAAAGTAAAGGCTGAAACATTGATTTCGCCCTTTAATGTGAATGTGTGGATGTATGCTCAAAAGAATTTCCATAACTATGAGAAGTTGAGTCATGGAATTCAACATTTTGGCATATGCAGTTCTGTAACTAGGCAAATAAAAGTTTGACTAGAAGAGATGGTTCAATAAATCACAATCATTGGTACAGTTGGTCAAAAATTATCCTAAACAATGGGAAAGTTGCATGAAAGTCTGATATACAGGATGTCCCAAAAGTCATGCAACCCTACATTAAGAAATATCCCCTTTTGGGTTACGTGACATTTGGGACACCCCATAGAATTGACTCTCAGGTCAAATATTGGCTGAGAAGAGCCTCATTTGAAAATTTCTGATACTGGCAAAGTTAGTGCTAAAATGAGAATGAAAGTCAGCACTCCCAGAGGGGGTTGAATAACAAAAATAAATGACAGTGAATGGTTGCCTTCCTGTTTGCAAGTCTCTACTTGTCTGTCTCTCTGATGGGATTCAGTCTCCTCTTTCCCCAAGCAGACTGAGCATGTGTAGATCTCATTTCATTTTGCAATGTGTTGAATGATCAGATTTTCCTTTGAGTCCCTTTACTTACATATCCTATGCTTCCCTTCATGTGTCTCAACTTGCATAATAGAAAAGGCAGAAACAAGCTTTTTACGCAAGAGGACATGAGTTGGGAAATGCACCTTGCATGATGGCTTCAGTTGTAGCTACAGAGGGCATAGTTAATCCTAGTCTAATGTCATTAGCCTGCAGCCCACCATGTGATTAAGCCATCTAAGTCTTTGCTACTCCAGTTTTCTAAATTGGCCCAGACCTAGTCTTTCCCCATTTTTTGCCATTTCCTTCTTTTTCCTCAGAAAGGCACTTTGAGCACTGTAGATTGACACATGGTCTCGGGAAATGAGCCCATTTTTTATTGATCTGGTCAGATTTTGAGTTACAGTAATGTTCTTTTCTACAGTGACTTTCTGGTCAAAGAGACTGATCAAGAGGAGTTGAGAAAGTCTCAGAGGAGGCATAGAAAGGCAAGAGCTGAGAAGCCTTTAGACATTTCTATTATATCTGCATCTGCAAGTCAAGAGAGCGAGGAAGAGGATGGGGATGTCTCTACTCCGAGTGCTGAAACTGCTGAAAGGAACATCATGTCTATGCTTGCCATCAGGTAAAAATTCTAATGGTTCTCATCAAAGTGGAAGCCAAAACCAAGGAGACCAGGTTTTATATAATCTAATGTATATATGAATATTGGATAATTTACTCATCCATGTCAATTCATAGCACGGAGAGCCTGGATCAGGTGGCCCTGCGAGAGACATTCCTGAAGTCAAATTTTGAGACCCTCCATGATGATCGAGGAGGATTCCAATCTGGAAGTGAAACAAGTGAGAACACGAGCCTCTCCTCACGCTTCCTCAGGCAGAATTCACGCAACTCTGACATCATTGAAGCTGCAAAACAGTCCTTGAAGGACCCTGAAATCTCCAGACGACGCCTTGAGCTTCAACGACAGATTGAAGAGACACGCAAGAAACTTCAGAGTGTTAGTTCATCTCCTGGACTTTATACTTGTTCATTAGGTTTAGAGATGATTGCCTATTGTGGCATTATCCAATTCCCATTCATGGTAGATATCCAAGGTTTTTTAAATATGTTAATAGGTTGGTTACAAGTCAAACCTGAACACAAGTCGAAGCATTACTGATTTGAGTTCGGTGCCAGAAAAGGAAGACTCATCTCGCTACAAAGGAGGTAAATTTTTCTCTCGCACTCTTCCTTCATATTTCCGAAATCTTCGCAAGAAAGTGTTGAGAATCCCCCAATCTGCCAAGGAGCACCGATGTGATGACTTGACTCAAAATCAACAATCAGTGAATGTGGCTCTACCTCCTATTGGAGGCGGATCCCAGTTACAATCTCTGTCTTTCGAATTTCTTGCTCATTCCAACTCCACTGTGATAGCAACTGATTCAAAGCATTCAAAAGAGAAGCAAGAAGCATCAAAACCGCAAGATATGATCACACTGGACCTTGGGCTTGGGGCTCTTTGCTATGAGAGTTCTGGTAAACTTGGGGAAGCACATGGGAAAACAGATGTTGAAGTGTCAAGACCCACTCAGACATCAGTACAAGGTGTGAAGGGACCCCGGAAACGACTAACGTGGCATCGATTGTCCTGCCCTGAACCCATCCCTGAGGTCCAAGAACATCCACAAATGTTTGGGGATGGGAAAGACGATGGTGATGTTTTCCCAATGCCTATCTCCAAGGAAGAGAATTTACGTGATTCTCCTAGACAGCAGCATTGGAGCAATGCATCATCAGGATATGAAAGTGGGAGTTCCTCAGCTGGACCTGGCCGTGTTCCCAGTCCTGAGTCATTGTCCAGTATTGACATTCCAAGCAGAAAGGCCATGGAGAAGCAGCATCGCCAGCCTTCCATCCCACGCCCCATCTCTTATGAAGTCTCCTTCCCTAACCAAAAGCGATATATGGTGCCAAAGATACATAAAGAAACACTTCGAAAATGTCATACATCTGAGGGCTCAGATTCCTTGGACTCCAGTTGTACCAGTATGGATTTGGAAAGTGTGAAGATTCTGGACCCATGGAAGTCTGATAAGAAGTCTAGCACAAGGATGAAGAACAGTCTTGCTCGCAAGGTTCCTCTCCCTGATGTCCTGCCCTCCAAGAGAGGTATTCCTTCCCTACTATACACGAGACTGCTGGTTTTTAATTTTCCTCTGTTTTTATTGAAAGGTTCTTGCCATGCTGATTGTTTCACAAATAAAGAATCACCTTCAGTTTCTGTTTGAGTCATCCTTTTTGTTTTACATATCCTATTTTGGTTTGTGTGTGATTATTTGAATGTCATGCATGCAATGCTTTCAATGATTGTGTGATAATCATTGCTCATGGTCAGCCTAGTGAGGCACTACTTTTCTAGTATGGCTGTTATTGCTTTTGTTGGCGTGATGCTTGTCTTGGTTCATTTAATCCTCTTTTTTGGGGTTTTGGTTTTGTTTGTTTATTTACATCAGGGGGGAGAAATGGGGGTGAAGGTGGTCTCCGTCGTGCTTGCTCTCTCAGTGACTTGAGCCAACCATCTCCAGCTCAGAGACGTATCCTCCCCTCCCCTCCCAATCAGGGTATGACACTAAATCACATCAAAATTAATATAGCATAAATTCCATCTAACTTCCTTTCATTCCCTCGAAAAGGTTTCCCACAACTGGGATAGTATTTACGTAATTTGATTCTATCTTTATTTTTTGCTACCTTTTTTGCATTACAATCCCAAAGATTCAACATTTTGTGGAAGTCCTTTGCCATTAGGCCTCTATGAATAGAGAGCTTGCATGCAAACCCTGTATTAAGCATTGAGGTGTTTGCATGACTGGTTGCTATGCAACACAAGGTCACTGGACCTTCTGTATTGGCACATGCATTTTGTATTCATCATGGTTGTGAGACTTTATATAGGCTGGAGCTCCTTTGTTTTATGTCTGCCTATCAATAGATTCAGGGCTGATATACTAGATGTGTCCTTGGACATATTGATCAAGGTAGATTCTTAACATTACCTTAGTCACATGGCAACAGTGAGTGTATATTCCATATTCCAGTGTCAGGAAAGGCCACCACAGGGAAACCTGGCCAGGGTCATGTGAAATCTATTCGCAACCCAGCTTTTCCCAATGGATATGAAAGGAATGACAACCCTGTGAGTTCCTTTACTGTGACCATGAGAAACTGTGCATCTGTCATGATAGTAATACATAGTGGCATCTTTCTTTAGAGTGATTCAGAAGGGGAGATTCCCAGTGTTCATCGCTCCTCTGGTGTGGTGACCATGTCACGTATGACCCGGCCAACAATGTCGTCCATGCAGAAGCAGCAGGGACACATGGGAGGGAGGGGGACAGCACGTGGAGACAGAGTGGGACCCAAGTCCAGCCAACACTCCTCCTTTGCTAAATCCACAGGTGACCTCAGACGACCAGCTGAGGGCTATTCCAGCTCTGAAGAGACCTCCTCTAATGAAAACAAACCTAAGCCCAGGTAAATGAGTTGATATGAAAGGAAGAGTTTGCTTCATGTTGTATCTACAGTAGGGGTTAAATTTGGTAGTGTCCTCTACTACAGCAAATCTAGTGGGTTGACTCCAGCATCAAGACGTATCAGTTCCAGTGAAAAGGAGCTGAATCGAACAGCAAGGGAAGTGACTGATCGCCTCAATGTCCCAAGAGGTGCAGTTGAGAAGAGGAATGTACGTAGGGCCTCATCTGTGATCACTGGTGAGAGCACACATTCTGAAACTTTTATTCCCCAGACTGTGGCTTGTTCTCTTCATATGCATTATATAGCACATACATACTATGCCCATGAACAACTTAAAAAATTATATGCAGTAATCTTGCATATTCAATAATGCTTGCTGGAATGCGTGATGGCTGGCTGGTAGGTGGAAATGGGCCTGCAGGTGGAGCTTCTAATCCTCGCATTGGTGGAGGTGCTCAAACTAAAAGGGGCATTCCCTCCCGTCCAAAATCCCTTGATATAGCTCCCTCTTCTACTTCTGTCTCTTCCTCACTTCCTTGTAAGTTTCCTCCTAAATGTTGCCTCTATCACTTGTGTCTTTTTGTGAACTTTTTGTGTCTGTGGGCTGTATGCATTAATGCTTGTTGCTTCACAGACTTGTAACTTGCAAGGCATTATTTTACAAAATAAGGCATTTCATCCTCTTTTTCTTTTCTGCTCCTGTCCATTTTCAATATTCTACCTTTTCTTATCCTTTCTTAGAGGATTATGCAAGCTTAGGCACCTGTCTCTGCTCAAGATTGAGAATATTAATAGTTTTAATGTGATACTTGAATGAACCCATAGGTACTCGTCAAGGGTGTGAAGAGGCAAGCGAGAATCTGAAGGAAGCAAGTGAGACATTGGCCACTCTGTACCAGCGAGTGTCAATGGACCTGTCCTTCAATGAGGTGGAGCGAGCCTCATTCCTGGCCATTCTGCAGGCAGGGGCTCAGGAAGCTCGCATGACCCTCGATTCAATTATGTATCCTATGAACCCTGGAAGTGGAGAGACCTCTCGCAAGGGGAGCACCAATAATCCCGTCATGATGCAGATGATGCAACAATACTCAGACCTGCTGGTGAACATGGTCCAGCAGAGGATGCAGTCTCCTGCCTCCTCTTCCTCAACCTTGATGGCATCTGCAGATAACACTGAGGAAGTGATAGCTGTGAATGGACATGAGGCCCCACCAGTTTCTCAGGCTCTCACTCCCAGCTAGGGTTTTCCTTCAATATTCGTTTTAGAATCTGTGATGGTGATTTCCATAGCCATGGATTCCCGGCTCTTGATTTTTTTGTGTTCAGATGTAAGAGAAAGAGTGAAGAAGGTCTTGTGCCATTATGATTGTCATGATTTCAGGCAGCTACAGAATAACTCACACTTTATCTCATGCCTATATTCACCATCTGCACTTGTTGCAAGAATTCTCAATTGCCTTTAATTGGATTGCAGTTGCCAAATGTGGTTGCCAAATGATGGTTCCTTTTGCCTTTTTCATTCATCTATGGTGCCCAGGGAATGTAGAATCTGTGAAACTTTTTCATTTTGTCTTGTATTTATGAAGGTTGTTTTTGGAAAGTACTGTACTAATAAAGATCCCACTTTTCTGAGTCAATCATTCCATGCATATCCACATATCATTCTTGTGAAGTTCGACAAACCTAAATTAGAATTTTATGAGAATAAAGTGAATAATACAGTTATGTAGAAATGTCAACATGTCAAGAGAGCAGATAAAACACATGAGAGAACACCAAGCTTCGCTGCAGTATGATTTTTTAAGTAGGCTGTTCGTTTTTTTACGTACAATTATTGCCAAAGGTAATCGTTGACACCAGCCTCAGGGAGCAAGTTTTCTTGCAACTCACAAAGCGAAATAGTCTGGATTTCTTAACAATGATCAGGACACCACAATTTGTACCTTCTTTCTCCAAGGACTTGACAGCTTTTTCCTCTCGAGACATAACCTGGGAGGTTGCACCTGTGGCAAAAGGTAAACCTGCTGAAAAGGAAAATGCATGACGACTCCCGGTTGAAAACCTTGGCAGCCTGCAGTATTTCGACTATAATACCTTGAGAGATGCTATCGCTATACTACTAGGTAGATCCCATTCCCGCCGTGAAAGGTAGTTTAGGTGGTGAAAAGTAAGTAAAGCTTCACAGTCGTTTTGCACGTCCTCGTCTAGAACCCTGCACTGCTATCTATATCCTAAAGTATCTCGAGTGATTCGGTAATTAAAAAAATGATTCAGCAACATTATGCAACACAAAAGAAAAGGTACTCGTATGATTGCGTCAGACACTCCGTTTGAAGGGTGAAGTGAAATTATTCTGAAACCAATTCGTCCCATGATCTACCCGAATTAGCGGCTGATATGCAAGAACGTATAAAACCGATAAAATAGCTATTTTGGGGGGTATCATATAAGTTTGATAGGTTGGCCATATGCAGAAACATTTCGTACCTATCATGATAGGTATAAGAATCGCTTCAATCTATTATGATCCAGAGCTTGTTTATTCTGCTTATAACGAGCTACCAGGGTGGATTGCAGTGCATTTTACTAACCCAAGTATGTAAACCGTCGTAACTTGTGTGAATGAAATTACTGTACTTTGGGATTGGTCGAATCCCGTAGAATTCTTTGTATCAAGCCACGGCGATCGGAATTCAAGCTCTAGTCTGGTAAACGGGGTCAGATTAATACCATTATATCATCACACAACACTCAGGTCAGTCATGTCAGCAGATACACATGCCATTGTTCTTGGGCGGGAGACGATGGATAGGAGGTTATCATCAGGAAGATTCACGAATACCTATCGTAATATGTATGATGATACCTATCAAAATAGGCCTCATGATGGATACCTATAAATTGTTCTTGCATACCGAACGGAGCAAATTATAGACCTATCGCCTGATGCCTATCATGATGGCTACCATTTAATAGGCTATCTGGTGATAGTTTCTTGCATACGGGCTATTGTCTTTCAGGCTTAGGTGCTCCATGAAGCGTAAGATTCCCCCTATTCTCTACGCAGATGAACCCTCCTCGATTCACTCCTCTTGATCAATGTAGTCACTAATGGAATATCTTGTCACGATTTTCGTGGAGCATCAAACAGCCTCGCCATAAAAGGTGAGCAGGAAATTATCATGGCGCTCATATATTTTTTGGAATCTGCCGTTCCCGCTTACATTCGAGTGCTGCACTTGAATTAACCACGGAGGCAACTGGCGATGGAAGGAATACCGTTTCGAACGTCAGGAATGATGAGACGTGAAGCCGATGGCAGACTGCGACTGTGCCGCTTGCACTCACAGGCTAATAAGACCTTCAAGCTTGAAGATGAAGTTTCTCGAGAAAGTGGAACGTGTGACATGTAATCGGAGGGAAGAAAGGAAGAGGGATGCCGACTGTCTGTAACGCATCCGACAGGTTGCCTCATTCCATTCCACATGGCTGAAAACGAAAAGACACCGAAAATACAAGTAATTTTGCATAGCTTCCTCTACCTGGAAATCTTTTTCTCGTTGAATAGTTCTGTTTGCCGAGTTGAGTTATCCGGGAAAACAAAAAAGGAAATTGAGTCTGCATCCAAATATTGATTAAATGAAAGCCTGGAAATAGTGTAAGTCACCCCAAGATGGCAAAACTTTGGAAAGAAAGCAATGCTATTTTTTGACCGTGTCGGGTGTGACATGTTCTGAAAATGTATTTTATAATGAGAAGTCTGGGCGTATATTTTAATGTTATTTTTTAAAATATAATTTAAATGTGGACAATTGACATATATTCACACTTGAGCTGATTTGAAATTATCAATATGCATGGGAGAACCCATGCTGGCATCTGTTCAAGTTGTCGCATTCAATCTCTCCAGATTTGCATTTTCATCACATCCACGAATATCATGACAATGATATGAATAATATGAACTAAAAATGACTAATTCTTTCATTTTTAAAGATAATATTCGCGTTCATTCATGCCTTCAGGGAAAAGAGATGAAATTTTGTAGAGAAAGTAATATTCGCAAATTTAGAGAAATTTCCTGCTACGAATTGGTGTTGGGTAATCATAACCAAATCTAATATTCTCTTCGATCCAATCGAGATATCGCATTTGTGCCATCCGAAATCACGATCCATTCGCCGATCGGAGCACATCTACCGCATCTTCGATAATATTCGCACATCAAAGGATCGCAAAAAAGTAAGGAGTAGCATTGTGCAGGACCGCTAAAATTGTGCTACGTTTGAAAGGGAAGATACGTGCATATTTGTGATGTAAAAATTATTTGCATGCATGGCACCGGAATTTCACTATTTAATTTTGAATGTAACGCTGAATTCAAAGGCCTGTCATGGAATTTGGGAAATTACAAGTTTTCAAGTCCCTCGGGATTCGCTGTGTTGCCGCCTTACTCGATTAATTTTTTGTGACTCTTCTCCTTTTCTTCTCTATTGGTATGGAATAAAGTTTAACAATTTTTTTAAAAGAATATTTAGAATATTTAGAATTTAAAGGAAAAACGAAAAAGTTTTAAAGCAAGAATACAGTTGAAAAAGACCTCGATCCGTGCACATTCCCCCCCCCCCTCCCCTCCCCCCTCCCCATTATTTCGAATTTCTTGACCCATCTTCAGATTCAACATCGAATTCGAATTTAATTAGTGGAATTCCAGTGGCATGCATGCAAATAATTTTTTCACCAATAGAATCGTGCGTATCTCCCCTTTCAGTGTACAATCATCCTACACATTACATATGATTACGCATAGCAAGGTTTGTCATTGGTCTCGCCATTTCCGGCAGGGATCTGGTGAAACCCAAACGCTTCTAAAGACTTGCAATTCTCACTTTGCTTTCATCTCTTTGCCGGCATGGAGATGATGTCGGAATGTACATCGAAGTTTTTTTCCTCGCATGTTATTATTTTACATGATTCCATTTGTTTGAAGCCACATCGCAACGGAGAGCCTTTTGACCCAAACAGCACGTCCATATGAACAAGATATCGACTTTTTGCAAACGATGTCAATTTTTTGCGATTGTCATGAAAATGATACATCAACATAAAATTTTCGTTTTCTATTTTGCATATCACCCAAGTGGATTTGAATTTCATATAACCTTGACATGACTTCACCTAATACAATCATGGCACAAAGTTTATAGAAAATCTACATCTCAATGAAATTTCAGACCATAAAAACTAAACTAGACGATTTCTTCCCAAGGCACATGTTGAACATCAACTTGACATCAACATGAACATACTCGTATTAATCATTATGCATTGCATAGAAACTTATTGTGAAATTCAAGTGATATCTGTAACTTCCCTGAGACACATACCACATTAGCCTGACAGCAATAAATTTTTAAATGATTTGCATAAAAATGCACAATAAATCTTTTAGTGTTAAATAATTAATACATCATAATATCCAAATGATTCATGGATATCTGGAGCATGTCATTCCAGTACTGAGATATGACTTCATCGTCATATTGTATATTATATGCACTGTATGTATATTATACTCACCGTTTATTTTCGCAAGAAAATGCGAAATAGCCTTTCTGTTGCAATAAAGCAGCCCAAAACTTCTTTTTTTCTCCTCATATGAGCAAACTTACAGCAATCTTGCATAATACTAATATAGACATGCTGTTAGGGAATGCGGACTCAATGTTCCTTTTCTGTTTTCCCGGATAACTCAACTCGGCAAACAGCGGGAAAACAAAGATTTCCAGGTAGAGGAAGCTATGCAAAATTACTTGTATTTTCGGTGTCTTTTCGTTTTCAGCCATGCGGAATGGAATGAGGGAACCTGTCGGATGCGTTACAGACAGTCGGCATCCCTCTTCCTTTCTTCTCTCCGATTAGATGTCACACGTTCCATTTTCTCGAGAAACTTCATCTTCAAGCTTGAAGGTCTTATTAGCCTGTGACTGCAAGCGGCACAGTTGCAGTCTGCCATCGGGTTCACGTCTCATCATTCCTGACGTTCGAAACGGTATTCCCTCCTTCGTCATTGCCTCCGTGGTTAATTCAAGTGCAGCACTCGAAAGTAAACGGGAATGGCTGTTTCCAAAAATACATTAGCCTAATGAGAATTTCCTGCCCACCTTTCTGGGCGGGGCTGCTTGATGCTCTATGAAACGCGTGACAAGGTATTCCATTAGTTACTACAATGCACAAGAGGAGTGAATCGAGGAGGATTCATCTGCGTTGGGCATCGGGGGAATCTTACGCTTCTTGGAGCACACCTCAGGTCTGAAAGAAGCAAATTCGGATAGACCTTGCGGACGAATTGGTATCAGAATAAGGTAGAGGCTCCATTTGCTTTCGGCGAAATATATTATATCTAGCTCCTCTCTTGTATATACCATACGACCCATGCTACCATCTTCTGTACTTTCGTCTACCGTGTCTACAC